GTGACCAGAACTGAACACAATATTCCAAGTGTGGTCTAACCAGAGTTTTACAGAGCTGCAGCATAACCTCACGGTTCTTAAACTCAATTCCCCTGCCGATGAAAGCCAACACACCATATGCCTTCTTTACAACCCTATCAACTTGGGAAGTAACTTTGAGGGATCTATGGACGTCGACTCCAAGATCCCTCTGTTCCTCCACACTGCCAAGACTCCTGCCATTAACCCTGCATTCTGCATTCAAATTTGACCTTCCAAAATGAATCACTTCACGCTTTTCTGGGTTGAATTCCATCTGCCACTTCCTTGCCCAGCTCTACATCCTGTCAAAGTCCTGTTGCAACCTACAGCAGCCCTCTACACTGTCCACAACTCCACTAACCTTCATGTCATCGGCAAATTTACTAACCCATCCCTCCACTTCCTCATCCAAGTCATTTATAAAAATCACAGAGCAGAGGTCCCAGAACAGATTCCAGCGGAGCACCACTGGTCACTGAGCTCCAGGCTGAATACTTTCCATCTACTGTCACCCTCTGTCTTCTATTGGACAGCCAGTTTTGTATCCAGACAGCCAAATTTCCCTGAATCCCATGCCTCCTTACTTTCTGAGTGAGCCTACCATTTGGAACCTTATCAAATGCCTTGCTAAAATCTGTAAAAACCACATCCACTGCTCTACCTTCATTGATGTGTTTTGTCACATCCTCAAAGAATTCAATAAGGCTTGAGGCATGACCTGCCCCTCGCAAAGCCATGCTGACTATTTCTAATCAAACTGTGCTTTTCCAAATAATCACAAATACTGTCTCTCAGAATCCTCTGCAATAATTTGCCCACCACAGAAGTAAGACTGTCAAGTCTGTAATTTCCAGGATTATCCCTATTCCCTTTCTTGAACAAGGGAATGACATTTGCCACCTTCCAATCTTCTGGTACTACAGTGGACAGTGAAGACGCAAAGATCATTGCCAAAGGGGCAGCAATCTCTTCCCTCGCTTCCTGTAGTAACCTTGGGTATATCCTGTCTGGCCCAGGGGACTTATCTATCCTCATGTTTTTGAAAATTTCTAGTAAATCCTTCTCCCTAACATCAACCTGTTTCATGCTGTCCTCACAAAACGTCAAGGTCCCTCTCACTGGTGAATACTGAAGCAAAGTATTCATTTAAGGACCTCCCCTACCTCTTCTGACTTCGTGCACAAGGTCCCTCCAGTATCCCTGATTGGCCCTAGCCTCACTCTGGCCAGCCTCTTGTTCCTCACATAAGCATAGAACGCCTTGGGGTTTTCCTTGATCCTACCTGCCAAGGTTTTTTCATACCCACTTCTAGGTCTCCTAAGTCCATTCTTCAGTTCCTTCCTGGCTACCCTGTAGACCTCTGGAGCCCTGTCCGATCCTTGCTTCCTCAATCTTACATAAGCTTCCTTCTTCCTCTTGACTAGGTGTTCCACATGTCTTGTCGTCCAAGGTGCCTTCACCTTACCATCCTTTCCTTGCTCAGTGGGACAAACTTATCCAGTACTTATAGCAACTGCTCCCTAAACAACCTCCACATTTCTGTTGTGCATTTCTGAGAACATCTGATCCCAATTGGTGCTCCGTAGTTCTTGCTTAAGGATTATCATATATCCTAGTCTGCAGCTAATGTGATTCACTCCATCTGATATCAAGAAGTGGCTGAAGGCACAGGATACTACAGGTTATGTGCCCTGACAATGTCCTGAGAGGCAGTAATATGAATTCTTGCTCTCCAAAACTATCCTCACTCCTAGCCATACTGTTCTAGTATAGCTACAACCCTGACATCATTGTGGATCTTTATAACCTAGAAGGAAAAGGGCAGCAGGCATGTGGGAATATCACCTCTGTGTTCCTCTGCAAGTAACACATCATTTAAACTTGGAAACGTAGTGCATTTTCTGCATCAACACTGGTTCAAAATTCCAGAATTCCCTCTGACTGCACTGAAAGTTACAGGAAACTTCACCATTGGGTAAACCCTTCATCCTTGAATTGCAGAAGTTAAAGTTGGCCGGCCATTATCACTTTTTTAAATTGTTGATGCATAGTAAATAGTTCAACAAAAGGAATTCTGTCATGTTTTTTGTTGAAGTATAGGTTATGTTGAACGTTGCAGCCATGTGAATAGCAAATTGTGAAACCCTCTTGTTTTAGTGGAGTTCAACAGTTACCTCGCAATATGCAAAAAATTGTCTGGATAAAGGGATAGAAGGAACTGCCAATGCTGAAGAATCTGAGATAACAAGGTGTAGAGCTGGATGAACACAGCAGGCCAAGCAGCATCAGAGGAGCAGGAAAGCTGACGTTTCGGGTCTCGAGCCTTC